ATCTACTGGTGAAGGAGGGAGTACATATGGATACCAAGGCCAGGTCCAACTCCTTTTTTGTTCAAGACCACAGCCGTACTACATAGCCCGTCTTCATACGAGGAAGCCACAACTTAGTTTTTATTTTTATAAATCTCATTGTATATCTTGTAACATGGGCGAATCTTATAAGCCTATACCGAGAATGGACTACTAATGTATTTTTACTGTTAGTCACCCTGTGAGGGTGCTTTCAGTCCTAGATCCTGTAAATTTTTACTCTCTTAATACAATGTTAAAAGTTCTCAAAAAAAAATGTCGGTGATAATGGTGCTAAATTCCATCGCTTTATTCTAGTGGTTGGATGGGGATGGGTGGCTAGGGTATATTGGCATCTCATGTGCCTTTGGATAGATGCATCAAGGGTGTTGATGATATCCAATCTTACACACTATGTATATATACTTCTCTAAGTCTCAAACCCTACCCACTTGGAAAAATCGATTTGTCTTGAATTGAATAGAGAGGAAAAGAAAGAGATCAAACCTTGTGTGCTCCACATACACCCCTTTGCTCTTGAGAGTTCCCATCTTCATTGAGGATCTTTGAAGTTTGATGGTGGTCCTTCACTCCATAAGATTAAGCTTATCTCATACTTTGGATTAAGGTATTATCTTACTAAGCTATTTTTCATCAAAGATCGTTTTATCCTGCATCAAAGCTTCCTGGAAATTTCATTTATAGTTCTGTTTGGATATTATCTTCATGACATTCCCACATAGTGTGATCCTTCACTTGCTTTTGTGTATTATGCATTGATGAACCTTTGACCATGCATAGTTTCCCTTGACCTCTCTTGCACGAATTTTTTTGAGCATCTTTGAGTCTTGTTATTCAAATTCCAGGGATATCTAGATCCTCTTAGAAGTATATTTACTCATTTAGAGTTAGAACTTTTGTATGAAAAGTTGTTGTGGTGGACCAATGGACCACCATAAGTAGTATTGCTCTATCTTGCTCCATATTGATCCGATTTGCTCCATTCTTCACTCCATTCTTCTTGCAAACTATTTTAAATGATTTTGTGGACTCTTAGAAGTGGTTTTAAAAGTGTAAGAGCTTCCTAATTGGATTAGATACTCTTGCAATATTCATTAGAACAAAATTAAGCCCCTAAAAGGCTTGAATTTGTAGCCCGGGTACAAGGAGTTCGAACCATGGTTTCTCACATGTTTGTATACATGTTTATTTGTTGTATTTACAGTTATTAAATGATTCATGGTTGAAAAAGTTGTGTATGTTGAGTGAAAAATAGAATTGTGCTTGTAATCTTGTGGTATGAGCTTTAATGATATGTTTTATTGCTTATGTGAATTGAAATCTCTTTAGATTATTACGATCAAGTGTATAATGTGTATGAGACATTGTGTTTATTGATGAGGATGAAAAATGAAATTGGAGTTATCATGTAATTTTGGTATAATGAGAAATTTTAAGTGAGTTATGTAATATGTCGTCTAGATGTATATTGTGAGTATTTGGACATTGTATAGAGTTTAATTATATTTTTTAGTTAATGAATTTGTAAGGAACCTATTAGGGTTGAATTTGTATTATTCAAATGTGTATTATATTTTAATTAAACTAAGCTTGTAGGCTGGATTTTATGTATTATGGTTTTGTATTGAGATATTCATGCATTTAAACCCTTGAGTTTTAATACAATGGAAAATTTTTAAAGATTGTGTACCTAGCCACTTGGTTTTATACCTCCAATACGCCTTACAGCAGGAAATGCAGTCGAAGATGATTGACAGTGTCTTCGCTTTCCTTATACAAAATCCGTCCTGTAGACATTGGAAGACTATGTTTTTGGAGCTGATTTCTTGAGGATTCTCCTATGGATGGTCAGCCAAGTGAATAGCTAGACTTTTGTTCGGGGCAGGAAGGAGCCAGGCCTGGGAGGCCATATAGACTGGAAGGGGTTTTCATTCCAGATTTGCTTGTAGAATGAAGACACTTTGAACAGTCCTGAGTATGATTGGCTCCACAACAGTTGTCCCTTCCATGACCAGGGAAGAAAAATAAGCCTCAAAGGGTGATTAGAATGGTCTCCAACTCCTATGAATCAGCTTCGTTGAGGTTTCTCCAATGTAGGAGACCATACCTGATCCCCCCCCCCACCCCCAACCCCAACCCCCCCCCCCAAAAAGAAAAAAAAAAGTCTAGGTAATTGAAGACTGCAATTCTGGTCTAAAGTTGGCAAGAATATTGTGGGAATTGGCAGTCCAGGGTGACAATGCCAGGCCAAAAGTCTTTTCTTTCTCTATTTCTTTATTTGGGCATTAGGTGAACACAATTGCAGAAAGGATGAATGCCTAAAGGACTCCTGTCCACACCCTTGACATCTGATTGTTGCCAGGGCATTTTTGGAGTCAAACTCGAGTCATCAAAACCATTGACATGCTGTATAACTCGGAAGATGGCTTCCTTGCGATGCAAACCTCCACAGCCACTTGCCATAAGGGCAGTGTTCATTGTACTTCAAGGACTTAATATAGCCCGCCCCACGTTTTTAGCAAACATTTTCCCAGTTAAAAATGTGTTGCTTGAGGTCAACTCCATCCCTAGACTAGAGAAAATTCCTCATCATCTCTCCAGTTTCTACAACCATAATTGGCATGCAGAAAATAGATTATTGGAGGACAAGAATGCTTGAAAGGGTAGCTTTGATAAGGGCCAGCCTTCTGTTCTAAGAAAGGAACCTATCTTTCCAAGAGGCCAGGCACCTCTTGAAGTGTTCGATGATCAACGTCCCACCAGCGTTTCTTGGCCTCCCAATGCACAAGGGAAGCCCAAGATATTTTTTACGAACTGCACCCTTTTTAGCAAGTGGCTAGATAGTGTCAGTCCAACCGAAATGCCAATTAACAAGTCAATTCATTCTCAGACCCATGGCCATCTCAAATAACACATAGACAACCATTTTTTATCTGCCTGCTATGGGATAGCAACGCAAAACACCGTGTTGTCGGTGTATTGTAAGTGGGAAATAGCGGGGTATGCCTGAAAGATGTTGTAGTAGTATGCATTTCAGATGGACTTGCTGAAGACTTTAACAATGATAGAAAAGAGAAAGGGGACAAAGGATCACCTTCACATAGCCCCCTGGAGGCCACGAAGAATCCTTGTGTACTTCCATTTATGAGCACAAAGATTGCCACTTATGGCTGAAGAATGTAAGCTATAAAACATGGTAGAGGACTTGCCAATCAACATGTTAAGTCTAATTTCAACACTAAACCAGGGGCTATTAATAAATATCTATAGTTTAGACATTCATGTGATATTAATGCACCATCGAGGATTTGGTACTCTTTGATGAAAGTGCCTTGGGTGCAGAAACTAATGAAGTCCAGCACCCCTCTCAGGCGAGTGGCTAGGACCATGGACAGTATCGTATTGGTAATGTTTAGTAGAAAGTGTCTAAATAACTTGAAGTCTAGATTCTAAATGCAATCATGTGCCACTTATCTATTACGTATTGATGTAGCTTTGCAAATTCGAATCTCAAAAAACTTATACAAACAACACTAAAAACTTATCGACAGGTTATTGAATATTATTTTTTTAAATCATTTTAAATTTTGCAACCCCATATCCATGTCCTGATGCTTCAAATCAAACTACCTAAGTCATGAAAGAACATCAGTTACCCTTGTCATAGTTGTAATCCCCCTCATCACTGATCATTATCATCATTTACACTATGGCCCTCTTCCTCAACTCCCATTTGAAAAAGAATTGGCAATTAATTTCTAGGAACTAGCTATGATTTTTTAAAAGTTTTTATTGGTAAGAACTTGCTATGATGTGGTTTTTTTCTTAGATATCATTTTGAAGTTTTGGTTGAAAAACAGAGTTTGGCACTCCAATTCCTAAAATTTCACGAAGAATTTGGTCAGAACCTCAACAATTTGAGTAAAAACATCAGCCTTCATTTTCAAGATAGACTTCTCCAAACTTTTCTTTTTGAAGCTGGATTGCTGCACTTAATATAGGAGAAAGTTATCATGAACCCATGTAAATGTACTGAGCAAAATTTCTTATCTAGATGGTTTTATTGATTGTCATTATATCATTAACCCGTGTAATAATCATCCAACCTATAAAACGAAAGTTATCCAGACACCGCTGAGAAGTGGAGTAAATCAATCCCATTCTTGAAATCTTTCTCAACCTTTACGACAATATTGAGTCTTGATAATGGGGTGGTGTAAGTGATGTGGAGCTAGTTTGTTTTCCTCATGTCCTTTCAATTTTCTTATCTCACCACATCCAGAGCCAATGCTAGTACTCTCATCAATGATTATAATCTAGCCTTCCTTGAATGCATCTTGGTTCAAGTGGCAATCATGCCACTTCCTCTGAGAGAAGCTCTTACGCTGTGTGATGCTGCTACCTCACATTGCAGTTGCCTACTAACTCTGAACATTTTCTCCAAATTATGATGCTTGAATATCATGTATGCCATATATGTGTCATTTCCGGGAGTGTGTATATTTTGATAGGGTATTCTGGCATCTCCCCTTAATTTTTATATTCTGAATTGGTTTACTTCTCCAAAATGGAGCTGATATTTTGACCTTGTTGTATTATGCCTGTCAATGAATTTCCATCGATCATTGTTGTAAATTCAGAAGCTTATACAGTGAGTGGAGAACACTTGGCACCAAGCAGTTAGACTGACCATCAGCCCATATGCTTATTTAGTCCCTTTCAGTCTTTTCTTTTTCTGATCGTCACTGTTAACTTGATATGGTTTGAGGTTGAGATTGCATCTGCTGGTGCATCTTGCCATGCATAGTTTATGAACATATCAAATCCAAGGATCCTTTACCCTAGATACATAACATTGAAAGTTGCTTCCTTTTCATTCGTTATTGCAGGCCCAAATAAGCATTATGTTGCCAAATAATTGATGCCAACTGCTTGTTGTTACCCTTTTCTGATTCTTGCAGATTGGATTGGAAGGAGAATACTTGAACATTTACAAGGAAGATGGACTCCATAATGTAAAATGGATCTCCACTTCAAATCCTCCAAAGAATCAACCTCTCACATGGTATAAGGTATTCCTTACAGTACTCAATTGTTATTAGATAAGCAAGTAGGGCTCTTGTGTTGGCCACATGTTCATTGTCAACAACAGTAGTTTATTAACATAATCTTACTTGGATTTACATAATGTGATCCATTTCATAGTGTGAAACATGTACCATAATTACAAGATGAAAAATTAAAATAGTGATAGTGCATTTAAAAAGAACGGGGGAAGTATCCCACTTTGAAAGAGGTGATTCTTGATCTCTCGGTTTATTTTGGGAGGATCACATGCATAAGAAATTAATTTGTGTCAGCTTTCAGAGCTCCACATCTCTGTAGTTTTAGAGATGGCTTTAGTTGATTTGATACCCTGGAGTTTGTCAAAATTTGAAGTTTTATTTAGAATGAGTTTTACAGTCATTTGTTTCTCAACTTTTTGAAATCTCTCAAGAAATGAAGCCCTGCCCTTCTTACTATGACTTTCAGTAACGTAACTCTGTGCATCTTGGAATTTCACAGGCAATTGTGGATGCTCCAAATGGAAATGAACCAGTTGGATTGGACATGAAACATATGGGGAAAGGCCAAGCATGGCTCAATGGGGAGCCCATTGGAAGATTCTGGCCCCGAGTAAGCTCCATAAATGATGACTGCACTCCTAAGTGTGATTATAGAGGCAAATTTTTCCCAAGCAAATGTGGCACTAGATGTGGGGAGCCCACTCAAAGATGGTAAAGCACGAAGCAGCTGTATTATTATAAGTTCTTTTAAAAGATTCAAAAACCTGTTTGGAATGCCCAAGAACCACCTGAATCTTTCATGAAACTTCAATGCCCATGTGAAAATATTCCTGAATTGGCTTCCATAGTTTTCCGAAAGGCAAAGTAAAAAATGTAACTATTTTGATTCTGTAGCTCAGCTTCAAGAAAAACACGTTTCATGTATCAAAATATGCGTGGTGCTTCAGAAATGTGGAATTTCAAACCAGTACTGGAGGCAACCTCAGGACGTTTATCTAGACCGTTCAGTTATCTGGGCTGATTGATTATTTTACCTCCTGTATTTGGAAAATCAGAGTGTATCTTAGCAGAATATGCTTTTTGTAGTCCATAAATTTTTTCTATGATACACTCATTTGTGTGCTTCTGAATACATCCTGGTTAATACATATTTCTATAATACTCTTGCTCGTGTATTTGACATATAGCCAGGGGTAAAACAGTCACAAGAAAAGGCCTTAGACACTCAGTTTCTAGACACCTTTTTTATGATTTGTTTACTCTAAATGCTGTTTCCTTTTCTTTTTTTTTTAAATTACTGTTTCCTTAATGTTTTTTTTTTTTGAAACTACTGTTTCCTTATTGTTAGCAGTAATTGATTGAGTTTTGAACCCCCTGGAGCTTTGCCTTTTTTTTGCCTGAGAATCAAATCAAAAGCAACTGGAGTGTAGAGAAACAAAATCAAAAGAGCCTGCATTGTATGAAAAGCACCTCGAATTCTGTTTTCTGGCTTACTTTCCTTGCTTCCCCCTGCTCACAGGTATCACATTCCCCGGTCTTGGTTCAAGCCTAGAGAAAATTTGCTGGTGATTTTCGAAGAGAAGGGTGGGGACCCTTACCAAATCTGCTTTTCTAGACGTCGTGTAACTTCAGTTTGTGGTCTCATTTCTGAGGACCATCCGCCATCTAATACAGCATATAACAAACAAGACTCATCATCTAGTATAAGACCTCCAGCAGGCATACACCTCGAGTGTCCTGGCTCTTCTCGCATATCTTCTATAAAGTTTGCGAGCTTCGGGACACCTCAAGGAACATGTGGCTCATTCCAGATGGGAGCCTGCCACGATCCTCTCTCAGTTTCCCTGGTTGAGAAGGTTGGTTGGTCTTTTCTTTTTGGCTGATTTCTATCTCAATGATGCTAGTGTTCAGAAATTGAATGATGCTTTTTTTTTGATGAAGTTCAAAATGTTATTAATAAAGCCTTACAAGAAGGAAATTACATCAGTGGAGACTAAAAGAGAAGGTAAAGAGATGCCCCCTTTGGCAAGAGAGTCAGCCACAGAATTAGCCTCTTTGTAAGCATGGAGAAAGGCCACCGACATAGTGTCCACCAGATCCAAAATCTGTAACCAACTAGATCTAAGTTCCTAAGGAACACACTGCTCTTTCTTACACCATTTTATCACATTCAAGGAATCCTCCTCATTCTCACAACAATTACCCAAATTCCGAGAAAGGAAAATTTTCAAACCTTGAAGAAGAGCGAACATTTCAGTTTAATTAGTTGAGACTATACCAACAAGACCTGCATAGGAGAAGATGACATCACCATAGCAATTACGCAATACATCCCTAATACCAGCCAATCCCGGATTCCCCAAGGAGCTGCCGTCAAAATTCAACTTGAGACCACCGACACTAGAGGCAGTCCTTATACATCTATGTCTAGTCTTAAAACCTCCCATTAAAAAGACATTCTGCAAGTTAACCGTACATCTGGTTGCAGGATCCCCCAAGTTTCTTTTGTCACAGACAACCAATACCATATGGTCAACTTTATCTTTATGAGCACTCTATTAAAAGGCAAACTCTCCCCTTAAAAGGTCCTTCTATTCCTCTCCTTCCAAATTTTCCAAAGGACTGCCCGCTAGCAATCTTCAACACCTCTTTGCCTAGAGATGGTAAATGTTGAAAGGCTAACTGAGAAACAACATCCATCACATATTGGGGTAAAGAAGTATTAACCCCAAGTAGCCCAAACAACCAATACCAAATCCTAGAAACAAAGGAACAATGGATAAATAAATGTGCTCCCGATTCCCCATCTTCTTTATAGAGTAAACAAACATTCGGAAGAATTTTATTTCTCTTGATCAAGTTATCGATTGTCAAATTCTTGTCAAGAGCAGCTAACCATATAAAGACCTGAACCTTATGAGGGATGGGCCATTTCCAGATCTTTACTATAGAGGGCAAAGACCATCTCCATCTATCATTAAAAAGCAGCTTGTAACAAGACTTTACAGTGAAAAGACCATCACAGTGAATGATGCTTTTATTTCGAACATGCAGGTGTGCCTAAATGCCCAGGAATGCTTGGTGCAATTGTCAAAGGAGAATTTTGGAGAAGATCCGTGTCCTGGTTTGCTAAAGACCGTTGCAGTTGAAGCTGTATGCCAGTGAGGACGAACATTATCTCTGTCTTTCCCTCTCTCATTTTTAAGAAGTTGAGAGCAAAGCTCAATCTTCGTCTTCTCTCTTTTGAGCAGCTTCTTTTATATAATTGTTATCGTTTAAACAATCTTCAATTTCTGAAATATTGGACAAGTGAGGAGATGCTAGCCAGCCGATTATGCAGGAAATTCAAAGCTAAGTGTATTCCCTTTGAATTACTTGTACACAAGCCAATCCTTATATAATAAAAATGTTCTCGCATTTTGATTTCCTCCGTCTTTGAATGCTCTTCTGTTTGTGTCTAAACTTTGTTGGCACCCGATATCTCTCCATCTCGATCTGCCTTGTATGACGGCAATTACTCTCTATTTTTTGCCGATATCATATACATTACTAAACATGGTTATTGCTTTCCAATTGGTTGTTATTTGCATTAATTGTTGCTCCATTTAATCTTAATGATTACATGATTGGTCAAGTAATAACAATATTTGTATTTTTTTCGGTATTGGATTAGTCTTTTTGGTAGCTATCCTTAAATCTCCCATCTTGTGAGCAAACATTCTGGTTTTGGGATAGAGTCCCAAAAAGAAAGAAATTATAAATACTATATAACCTAGGATTTACCTTTATGAATTTTGCTGAAGATTATATGCTCCTGATTGTGTCCACTCATTACCTCTGGTAAAAGAGGAATATTTTATAACCTTTTTCAACCTCAATCTAGCGGCAACATCAAACTATTATATATATACATTATATGTGCATGGAAAAAAATATCATATAAGATCAACATATAATCCAATATTTGGATAGTCAAGTCTAAATGTTGAGAAACCTAATTCAAATTTCTTTTTAGTAATACCCTTGATGATTCTAAAGTGGATCGCTAAATTTCAAGCAGAAAAAATTCCTCCTAAGCAGCTCTTGTGACCAAGTGTACAAGTTGCTCCACCGTGCGAGGGTTCCATGTACACTCCTAGTTTTTCTTTCAAAATTATAAAAAACAAACAGTGGAGATGAACCACCTGGGGATGGAGCTCCACGGTGTGAAAACAACTTTTCATTTTTCCTGATTATCTCGTGCACATTATGGTACTTGCAAAAAATGACTATCTTTGATGGTAAGACAACAGTCATTATGAACAAGAAAATGCACGCAAAAAGCGCGAGTTCCAAAGAATATTTAAATAAAAAATAAAGAAAAAGACAATGCTTCAATAAATTGATTTTTAGAGAGGATGGAAGTGTAAGCATATTGGTAGTGTCTTTTGGAACAAAAGTGAGAAGATATGAAGCAATAATTAAAATTATTATTGATTATAAGTAGATCAACAATACCTCTAGAGCTGTAAATCATGTATGTTGTTAATAATCAGTATTATTTATTACTGGTAGATCAAAATAATATTATAGATTATTAATAGATCGGAAAAACTAACAATAGTATTAGCAATATATATTCTTGATAACTTGTATAAAAATCTCTTTTTACTCTCAAAATTTAAAAATAGTCAGATGTATTTAATATTTTACACTTAAGTCCCACTTTTTTTAAAGTGAATGTTCTATTTTAATTTTACCTCTTTTTTTAAATCCAAATAAGCCCAAATTTTTGGAATTCATACTTCTCATCATAATTCACGTGTAAAAAATATTAAAAACTATATGATTAAGTTAAAATAAAAATGACCAATAAAACCCACAAATTTCACAATCTTAAGGATATTTTGGCTATTTTATTTATTTATTGATTTTTTTAACAAATATAAAAAATATTAACTCCTCAAATTTGAGCTTAATGCGATGTACAGAAAATAAAATAAAATTAAAATGCAATACACACCTTAAAAAGGTGGACTTTAACATAAGAAATAAAGTATACATGAACATTTTCTAAATCTCGATAATAAAATGCGCTTTTTTAGAATTTGAATTCCTGATAAAATAGGATGTCTATCAATTGTGTGAAACAAAAATAAAACCCCTAGATTGCTAAATATCAAAGCGCTAAACCCCAAACTCATCACCCGTAAATCAAACCTTAAATACGTTAAACCGAAATTCAAGAGAGTGAGGGAGAGGACCATACATTGTAGATGAGAGAAAGAGTTGATAGAAAACTTTGAGAGAGATAACATTGTAACAATCCTAGGTGGTTTAAGGGCCTAATTTTCCGCATTTCCATCACCCAAGGGTTTTGGGACGTATTGGTTAGGTACCTAATATTTGGTATCAGAGCAACAGCTGCGACCCAAGTTCAAATCGTAGGAAAGGGCTACCTGAAGAAATAAAATCAGAGTGATGAGAACCACCATAGAGTGAGAGCTACTGAGGACATCGATCATAGGAAAAGGCTACCTTGTAGAAAGGGCTACTTGAACAAAGTGAAAGCCGCCATAGAGTGAGAGTCACCATAGAGTGAGAGCCGCCGAGGACATTGACTGTGGAGCATGGTGGTATGTAATGATCCTAGGTGGTTTAAGGGTCTAACTTTCCGTGTTTCCATCATCAAAGGGTTTTGAGATGTATTGGTTAGTACCTAACAAACATCATACATTGTATATGAGAGAGAGAGTTCATAGAAATCCTCCTTAACCTTCTTTTTCATCAATAGGGGGGGAAGAGAGAGATTATCCTTGTAGGGGAGAGAGAAGTGAGCCGATGGAGAGAGGAGAGTTCCAAAGGCAAGAGTGAGAGGAGTGAAATGAGAGCTCCCTTAGGGGGTATGACTCATCATTGGGAAGGAAGTTTTCAGACTTTCAGCACTCTACCCTCTACTACAAACACTCTCAACCCAACTTCTAACTTTTGACTTTCCATGCCAGGCACAAAAAGTTGGAAACATGGAAAGGATTTCCAAGTCTCTTTTCGAATATAAAATGGGGGAAGCTACAACATCGAGGAAAGTCGGAACCCAGCTCAAAATTTCCCCAACATCAAATGCCCTAAAGGCTTAGGTGGTTTCTAAAGCCCTTTCTTGAGCTAAACCTCCTTAGGATGCAAAGTGATATTCAGTCCATTATAAACGTATATTCTTTTTTCTTTTTTTGAATATAAACATTTTTGTAACTTTCAAGAAATAGTACAAGAGGAAAACAACAAGAAAAGAATAAGATATGGATTAATTAAGCAAAGTTAGTGATAACCAACGAGCCCCAGTGAACACCACTTTTGGCAAGAGAGTCTTCCTTGACATTGGACTCTCTGAAAATATGGCATAGTACAACAAATTGGGATAGTATTAGCTCTTTAATCTCCATAAATAATGACGTTAGCCTCCATGTGAACCTAGCTTCCCCCTTTCACTAAGCTATAATATTTGCATAATCCCCCTCGACAATTTTACCACACTCCATGCCTATAAGTGGTTTGAGCCCTTCTAGCAAACTCCTAGCTTCCGCCTCATTAACAGTAGCATTACCACAAGGCTCAGAATAAGACATAAGAATCAGCCCATCATGATGTTTAATGAGCCCTCCAAATCCTGTTGGCCTCATCTTTCCAAAAGAACTACCATCAAAGTTGAGTTGGACGCTATCCACATGTCGAGGGGACCAAGGAAAGGTATACCTCCTCCTAGAGAAGCGTAATTGGGCTATCTCCATAGGGTTCAGAATGGTCTGGATCCTCGGGATGAACTTGCAATCCTTATTCACTGAAATCCAATCTGCTACCATTCTCATATTCAATCGTGACAAATTGGTCACCTTATCCTCGAAAATTCTCCTATATCACATCCTCCAAGTATTCCACATAACGTTGACCCATAATGATCTCCAAATGATGCGTCCTATTTTTTGGATTCCTAGTGAAACCCACTGTTGTAGCATCATTCTCATAGATGTTGGTATTTGAATATGAAGGTTAAGCATCTTCCCCAACTCCATGAACCCGAAATATATGGACATTGGAGAAGAAGATGCTCAATAGTTTTATTATCAGATTTACATAAAATGCAAACGTTGGTTAACACAGCCTCTTTTATGGAGAATATAAATTGCGTCCAACTTACTTTGGGAAGCAATCCATAAGAACATTTGCACCTTTGAATGGACTTGTAGTTCCAGATCTTGGCCAATTCTTCATCCAACATTCTGCTACGATATTGGTAAAGTAAGGCTTCACAAAAAAATTACTCAAAGTGTTGAAATCCCAAGTATTGTAATCTTCCACTGAAGGAGAGTAGTGAAACTAATCTAGCATGAGTTTGGAATTCTTCAATAAATATGTCATTCATCCTTCTTTACCTATATGGAACATACTACATACCATTAAAACCGTTCTTCCCCTTATCTCTTTGACTGTACCCAAGGGATTACATACCTTTAAGAAACCCTCTGGGAATAGGTAGCGTAAATTGGAAATCCCCCGGCCATTTATCATATCAGAAAAGAGTGTTTTCACCATTTCTCACAATCTTACAATGTTGCCAAAGATAAACAGGTTTGCAATAATCAATCCCTTTCCAAATAGGAGAAATAGAAGACTTATTTCTTGGGCATTGGATAATGTTATTTGTCTCATCAACACCATATTTTTCTTTGTGGACAACACAATATAAAGAGTGGTTATTTTCATGACATCTCCACCACTATTTTGTGAGCAGCCTTATGTTCATAATTTTGAGTTTCCTAATACTTTAGCTTCCCTCTTTGGTAGTTGCACAACATTGATACCATTTAAAAAGGTGTAACTTCATGGAATTATCAAACTTCCCCACAAAAATGCTTTCATGATGCCTGCTAACCTTCTGACTACCTATCCAGGTATTCGAAACAAAGATATATAGTAAACCGGGAAATCGAAGAAGGTGGATTCAATTAATATTGCTCTCCCCCAAAGAAAAGCATTTAGATTTCTGAAGGTCTAATTTATTATTGCATCTTTCAACAATAGGATCCCAAATGGAGCGAGGAGGATGGCCAACCGTTGAAAGTATTTTCAAATATTTGCAAGGCAAACTTTCCACACTACATCCTAATATTCTCGCCAAGTGTATTACTAGGTATCTGCACATTCTACTCTAATAAAAAATATCTTCAATAGATTAACCTTAAGACCTATAACCAACTCCATGCACTTTAGAAAAATCCAAAGATTTTTTTATCTCATCCTCTTCAGGATTACTAAAGATGATTGTATCATTAGCTTATTACAAACAAGATACCAATAGGCCGTTGTTGCCAATCTGAAATCCAAATATATGTCCATGATCCACCACATATTTGAGCATAATATTGAAGCTTTTGACAACAATAGTGTCGAGAAAAA